TTGGGCCGAGCACACGATATTGCCTTCACTTGCCATTTTACAACGTTGTGCAATAATAGAGACATCGCATCAGAAATATGAATAAATATTCATGCTTGTTGTTTGATGTTTCTGTGATTGCGATACGTATACGACGGCGGTGGTGCGGACTTGGAATATTCCCGATTGCCTGAGCGCAAACACAATTGACGTGAAGGCAACGTTGGGAGCCGGAGTTGAGGTTTTCTGTTTTGCAGGAAACGGGTCGCTGCGAATTTTGTTGTCAGCTGGCTAGCCATGTAGGAATCTTCGTTGATGGACCCAGTCCATCGATCAACGGATATTCCTTTACCGAAGATTCAAAAGTACGTCAGGCATGTTGTGAGCATTTTGAGCGCAAGAGAGCAGCGGCATTTTTCAGGAAATGGCGGCAAATAGCTGCTGAAACGTCCGCCGCAGACACCTAGTTTTCATCTAGAAAACCAATGGAGGAGGCTGTAATAAAAGTTTTGAGGTGACACGGTTTGGTGGCGGCTTAATCACCAAATACGCAATTATAGCTGCCCAATATTGTGTGGAAGCAGCTGGAAATCGTGTGAGCTCGGTGACCCACTCCTGGTGAAAGAGGCCTGATTACGCCAAAATCATTGGGACATTGAGTTTACTGCTCATTGCACCACCCTTTTCTCAGGGGCACGTGCCCGAACAGATCAGGAAATCCCCGGCACCTGCGACATCCTCTGACAGATTCAGTTTCTCGGATATAGTTTCCAAAGAGGCCACGAAGAAGTCATCGCAGATGATGGCGATCCCCAGGAACAGGTAGACAATCCCGAGAAAGTACAAAATCACACCCCCTGCAGCAGAGGCCAGCAAGTGAACAAAATAAGGCCATCCATGAGATTTTCAACATGCATCGGAGTTTCGATGTAATTTCGCAATGGAGATCAAGGGCTTCAAGGATTGCCAAGAATCGTCGGTAACAGTAACAGCAATGCAATATTATGATTTGTCTAATGAAGCGAAGAGTAACGTAATAATTTGATGTCACCAGCATTACAGGTGAGTAGACGCGGAACTTCAATTTCAAGAACTGTAAGTTGTCGCTCCCATCTTGTCGCATCTGCAGCAGTCGACTCGTTGCGTTGAACGAGCTTGCACCGGAACTTGCATGGGCAGAGTTTTGAAGTCTGTGCAGATAGGTAGGCTGAAGGCAATGGGCGTACACTAAATTTAGTATACTTAGCATCATTATGAGGACACTAAATGTCAGTGCTGACTACACAATGCGCACATCTAGTTTTGTAAAATTCCGGTAAATGGAACGAGACAATATTGTCTAAATGGAACAACGATGGAGCTCATTTGACATGCCAAGTCCAATCAGAGAGCCATGCGTCCCTGACGCTTGATTGCAAATCGGCTCGCGTGCTCCACAAACGCTTTCACCCCCCACCATGCTCATTTAGAGGGGGTGGCGCGCCCTCACTAACGACACCAGATGGCCAAAAGCTGTGCAGAGAGGGCGGCTTCCAATCAATCCCATCTGTTCCAACCCAGCAGATCGGACTAGGCAGCGTTTTGAGCAGATCGCGCTCCTGGCGCTCTGCGTGGCGCCAATTTCCCGACATCGCCTTGCAGATGCAGGCCATGCGCTTTTTCCATTTTCTCACAGAGACGCGCGGAGGAACCACACGATATGACCGCCCCAAGAGGAATGGGCGGCGCCGACGCGGCAGCCACTTCTGAAACCGACAATCCCCCATGCCAAATTCGCCTGCTGCCTCCTCCCTGACCCCAAAGTTGGCAGTACTACCGACACAGAACCAACACAGCACTCGCGTTCGTATGCAGACATCTGCAATCATGTGCATCCACAGATCAATCAAAGCACACTTCAACCGATGGGCAAAAGTGGGTGGGCCTGGCGAGGCTCCCCCTCCCCCCGCACCGTTTTCCTCCCATTCCGAATACTCCCCGCAGTCGCCGCCGCCGCTCTGGAGGCTGCGTCCCCGTGGTTGCAGGCCATCTGCGGTCAACACAAACGCAGACCTCAACGCAGTCCAGAGCGGACCGAAAACGCCCCTTTCCTCCCCCCCATCACCGTTCCCACCCACGCTATCCCTGTCCTTTCAGTTTCTTGCGCTGTGAGCTCCCCTTCTCCCACTGGACACTCCACGCCACCTTTCCACAGTATGGCACAGAGCCTCGCAGATGCTTGAACAGGAGGAAGTGCCACGTACATTATTTCTTTCTGTCTCTCTTTACAACAAATCCAACTCCCAACTCCGTTTGTGTGCCCCAAGCGCCCAGGCTGCGGACGGTCAACCGCTCTCACCGCCGGATCGGCCCGGACTCCAGACCGCGAGCACCAGCACCCAGGCGGCCAGGCCCGCGGCCGTGCAGACGAACGCCCTGCGCTTCCGCCGCAGCCTGCCCACACACGCACACACACACGGGCCGCCCGAGCCTCAGCCGCAATACCCGGCTCCGCCGCGGCCCAACCACTCGGCGGGCGACGTCCCAAAGCCGTCAGACCGGGCCTTGACGACCAGCAGCGGACCTTCGCCACAACGTCCAAGCGAAGTGAACGCACCGCCATCTCTGGCTGCGCCACACGAGTTTTGTTCGCAGCTCTTTTGAGGAACTGCTGCAGCCCCAGGGCGGTTCCGGCACACACCTGCTCCCGCCTTGCGACACCCAGGGTGCCATGTAGATCCCGCGGAGCGGGTCGCTAGGTCGTCGCCCCCCGCCCCCCTGCCGCTGAAGCGCCTGTGGCGCGGCCGCCCCCGCCCGTGTTACATGCCGTCGGGCGGGCCATGCTCGAGCGCCTTCCTGGACGTCGGCGGAAGGCTGCCCGGGGTGGCGGCCATGTCGCGGTGGTCTTCGGCCTCTGCGGCGGTGGACCTGGGGGACCTGGCTCCTCCGCGGATTAGGACGCAAATGTCCGACGCCCTTCGTTTCCGAACATGAAGTCATGAATGCCGCGAAGGCAATGAAGGTCATTTTCGAGTTTTCGAGAATTTTCTATGTCTCCTAACTTTTGGCTTTTTGTTTTCTTCCTCCTCGTCATGGCCTTCATGACCTTCACGTCGGGATGGCAGGTATGACAGGTATTGGATAATCTTCGATAGGGAAGGCCCTTGGCGTGCTCACGGCATGGGGCCGAACTTCGCTTTTGGCAATACGAACGTCATTTTGCAGGTCCTTTCAGCGGCTTTGAAATGTTCAAACTTCTGTGAATTTGGTGCTCTGCCTGTGCAGAGGCTTGAGCCCTGCTTTTGGAATGTTGGTTGGCGGCAACTCAAAGAGCTCCATGACTGATCATGGCAGCGATGGGCACACTTACCTGCAGGCGTAACTATACTTTATTGTATTAAGTCGCCCACGCTGGAAGTTGCATTTTGCATTGGATTCCATCTGGACCTTGCAGAGTCCAGATTGTTCAATTGGCTGTCGTGCTGATCGCGCTTTGGACAATGGGCACTCGTGCACATACCCGGCATTGCCCCGCAGCTGCAAGGGCTGGTTTCTGCCATGGCTACTTGAAGGCAGACATCCAGACCATCCCGAGGGCAAATGCAATCAATAGGGCTTGCGCGGGAGACTGCCAGAGAATCGCTGTGGCACAGAACTGCGTAGTCACTGGCCCAGACACCTTCGTGGTGCCGTGCAGGGTGATGGCCCACTGGAACTACGGGGATGTCTGTGTCTGCCCGCAGTTTCCCAGCCGGCCGCGTGGCCGCATGCACACGGCTCCCGGTGCTGTCAGCGTCTGCATCTGCAGAGAGGGGTTGCCTTGTCTGCAGATGAAACTGTGCCTTCACAGGGCAGCGCGCGATGTTTGGGACGCTGGAATTCTCACGAATGCCGACTTATTGAAAGGGGTTTCAGGCACTTGCCATCGGGCATTGTCATAGGAAAGGGCGTCAGCATCATCCGCAATCCTCCACCCACGTTCCTGCGCTCCTCACCCTTTGCAAAGCAACAGGGCTTTGTTCGCCATGCCCATTTGTGCTCGATGTCATCGTCCACCTATCCAGAATCTGTGTGTCCACTTGATGGCCACTCATGAGCCCTCGGAATTTGTTCGAAAATCACCCCTTGGCAGTTTGCTGGCTGCCAAGCTTGGCAGCCTTAAGGGCAACCGCACAAACGCAACAGACCGTTTGCATTGTCGATTTTCACACCGTACATGCACCCTGGATTGACCCACGTTGCCACAAGCGGCCCCTTGGAATGGGTGCAACCACACAACGTCGTGGCCAAGGGTCGCGCTCCAGGCGCCTGTTTAGTCTCGCGGAGTTGAGCCGGCCTTCCAGAAGGCGCCCGTGGTTGTCATCGGGAGCGGAAGCTCTTCGCTGCTAAGGATCCCGCATCAGCGCCAGGCTTCAGCAGATGGTGAGGTTCCCGCTTCAGTCAGTCCTTCGTTTGGGGTTGCTGACCTTATCAGTAATTGGGAATGCATTTGCATTTTTGCAATCTTCGTAAGAGCATGCGCATTGCACGATACAATGTAGAGTATAAGGTGTTGTGGAATGCGTAATGGCATTCACGGATTTCATGTCTTCAATCCTTGAAGCAGGACACTTTGACAGGTAGTGACACAAGCGAAAATGGCACGGAAACGCGATTTGGATTGCACTGTGCTGTCCATTTTACCACGGCTTGCTGTACTGATACACAATTACGGCAATGAGGTTCTGACTTAGTTGCTTCCCGTTCCCATAACTGATGTGCTTTGGATTACCTACCGGTTGGTTCAACTCGCATGAACACGGACAGAAGCTGGCCTTCCCTGCCAGTGACAGTTCGTTTGTTTCAACAAATTTGTGCCCATCAAACGTTCACATCGCTAAAGGTTCAAAAGTCTCTGTTTAGGTATAGGAAGGCAGCTGCATGTGCGGGAGCGGATTGAACATGCACACATCCCACGCGTGTCAATGAGCCAAACGACACCCTGAATGTCAACCATCCCTTCCACTACAAATTCGCGCAGATTCCTCTCGTGCCCCCACTAGTTAACAGCTGTTCTCAAGATCATGGTGCCGGCTACTGCCTCCAGCCTCCAGCTCTGCAGATGTCAGACGCGAGAGCCCGCAATCTGGTTGCTTCGTGTTTGGGGTGAGTGGGCTGCACCACGTTTCTGTTGAGTAATAGGATTCAGTGAGGGGAGGAGCACCTCCGAATGAGCAGGACTTTCGCCCCGCCAATGAATCTTCCAGCCCCACTGCCCAGTCAACGAAGCTAAGGAGGTAATGTACTGGAGGCATGCGTCCAACGTTCGCCCGCCGTTGCGCCACAGAACGAGGCTGCGGCATTGCAGCTCGTGCCACGATGATCTATCCAAACATTTCACAAACCGCCACCTTGCAAAAGAATTCTGACATACGACAGAGATGGATAAAGTTCCTTTTTGAGTTGAGACGCATCCTGACCCTGGCACCCGCCATTTGCTCTTGTTATGGCGGGAGATTCCACTACTGAATGCCCATCACCCCGCTACAACCATTCCAAAACATTGACAATTGGCTGCTGCCACTGAAGGCAGACCGCACTCACCCAACCGATCCTGTGCGCCGCGAGCCAGGACCAGGCCTTCCCCTCCCCCTTGCCAGATTTGGGCCTGGGCTAGGCGCACCCGCGGCACCATCCACAGTGGAGTACTTCCGTTCTATGAACACCTGCTTCCCTCCAAATTTCACAGGGCCCCTGATAGCAGCCTCTGCCGCTTCTTCAGTCTCGTAGCTCACAAAGGCGTAACAGCCATTCCGCCCGTCTCGAACCTGTATCCCGTCCACGCCCCCTACGATCGCTCCAAATTCGCCCATGACATTCACCACCTCTGCTGCCTCTGTCCCAAACGGCAGCCGCGCTATGAACACCCCGTGGCCGTGCAGCGGCTGCTGCTGCAGGAATCGCGTGTCAGATGCGGTTCGGCGGCGGTGGCGGTGAAGCCCAGGGCTTCCCTGGCCAAACGAATTGGCTGCCCCAGCAGAATCCACCCTGTCAGACTGCGCTCTCGTCAACTGCACAGGCCCGGGGGAGCTGTTTCTGGCTGCTGCACCACCTTGAGCGCCCACGCGTCCTGAGCCTTGATGGACATGGGTCTGCCCCTGGGACAAAGCCCGTGCGTAAGATTGCCTATCTTGCGGCGTGCGGTGCGCGGAAGGCGACCTTGCAGGAGGCTCTGTCCACCTCTCGTGCATCTGTGGGGGCGTCGGCACATCCACTGATGCAGCTCGACGGTGACCTGTGCGTGGGGGCCGTCCTTCCATGAAGTCGACCGGGGACTGCAGGGACAGCTCTGCTGGCAGCCTGCCTTGCGTTCCATCATTTGGTGGAGTTCTGGGGACCATGCGCTGATAGTCGTGCGTGTCTTGGTAGCCAGCAGCAGCCTGCATAACAGGATCCAACTGTGGGAGGAACAACCCAGACATGGCCAATCTGGGCAAAGCCATGCACAGAGGCAAAAATTCTGACAAGCAGCAGCAGCAGCAGCAGCAGCGCTTGGCTCGAACACAGAAACAGGCCATGCAAGGGTGCCGTTCTCTTCAGCAAGTATTCGTATTTTTCGTCCCCAACTGACAGTGCCCAATCCTGAGGCTCCAAATCATTAGAACAAGGGCATGCGCCATTGAGAGATGCCTGGAACAGGAAAACTGCTCAATCTGCTGGGAAGTTTTGATATGGACGCATGCTAGACAATAGTCCAAGGCTGCAAACAAATGGCACCTCAGCAGCTTTCTTCTTCAGAATGGGGTTGCTTGAATGGCCACGAATTTGCATGGAATCTGTGAGCACATAGTAGCCATTCTCTTGAGGGGCCAATAGGAATGCCTGGGAGAACATGCGCTGTATGCCATCGTCCTGCAAAGGTACAGCAGACAGAGCGTCAGGGTCAGGTGTCAGTCCCCATTGCAAGGCATGCTGAGGAGCAATCTTCTGAGCCTGCAACTGCATCAAGCAGCAGAAGGCGTGCACTCACCATGTGTTGAATTTGATCCGTTTGATTGGATTTTGTGATGGTGCCGGACACCAAAATGAGAACACTGCCTTCCATTGAGAACTGGGCAACGCTAGTCTCGACTTTTATTGTGACATCCGCAAAGATCGTCTTCACCAGCTCTTGGACTGCCTGCACAGCACCACAGCAGAGGGAACCTATTTAGCATCATGCCTTCATCCCATGGATTGCATCTGCCAACAAGATGTTGCAAACACACAACTTGCGCCTTGCAGCCGGTGCCAAATGCAGCAACATCTAACCAGCATCTGTTTCTTTTCCCACGATCACACTTCTACACACCAGCCTAATGCGCCAGGTGAAAGAAAGCACCCAACAGTTTTGCAATGGTTGAATCCAGATTTCCACAGTTTTGGAGATCATGTCTACCACACTCTGTTCACAGCCACATGCACGAAATCTCCTTGCATGTATGCGCAAAGCTGCATGTTGTCACATTTCAATAACTGAAGTCAACAGATTTTACTCTGGGCAATGGCAATTGCAGGATCATGCCAACATAGCCAGCCAATCCCTGGGTATCAGGGCAAGCCATGGGTTGGTAGCAGGCCTGGGCATCTGCTTATAAAGTAGAACCCCAGGGGTGGACAGCAGCAGCGTCACAGCACAGGTACGTTTGTGGGGAGGGAAGCCAGACATGGGCACAACTGATGCATGAACGTGCGCATCCAGAAAGAGCCAACCTAACACTAATGCCGCCTCTCCCAGCATGCTGTCACAGCTGGGTGAAGTCACGCGCCATACAATGCTCGATTCAGCGCGCACAAAGCAGATCCAATAGCACCCAGCATGCTGCCACAACTGGGTGAAGTCACGCACCACACAATGCTCGATTCAGCGCGGACAAAGCAGATCCAATAGCACCCAGCATCCTGTCACAGCTGGGTGAAGTCACGCGCCACACAATGCTCGATTCAGCGCGCACAATGCAGATCCAATAGCAGCCAGCATGCTGTCACAACTGGGTGAAGTCACGTGCCATACAATGCTCGATTCAATGAGCACAAAGCAGATCCAATACTACTCAGAACGTGTCCTGGCCCGTCCGATCACCTCAAGGAAAATGCAACCGCTCACAGTGCAGGCAGCACAATTGGTATGTGCTGAAGGGCTCATCAAAGGCACCCTACCCCACCTCGCCTTCAGGGCGACATGTGCGGTGCTTTGTTATTTTCCAGCAGCTGCATTCAATGCGGACCTCCGCCTGGGATTCCACTTCGAAGGACAACACCAGCCAGCATGGGGTGGGCACCAATTGCCCATCCTCATCCGACTCTTTAAATCCCACGCGGAGCAGCACGAACTCCAGCCGCTCGCCGCATCACCAAACCCTCAATGCGCTCAACGCGGCGACATCCGCGCAGTCACGCCCGGCCCCTCGATTTTTTTCCAGCCCCGCAGCCCTTCCCCCGATCCAAGACAAAATCCCGGATGGCCGCGCCATGCCCAATGCCCGCGCACCCATCAATGATCCCCCGCGGTGCCCCGGCCGGGGCCCCTCACCTCCTCTGTGTCCGCGCTCTCCGACAGCGTGGACCCGTCCTCCAGCGACTCGGACACCATCACCGTGCTATCCGTCCGGTAGAACCGGTACAGCAGCTGGCGCGACGTGTTCAGGATCCCGAAGTACATGTCGATGAAGCGCTTGGCCACCTGCCGCCCAGCCGCGATCACCCGCCAGAAAAATCAAAACGAGAGCGGCAGACGCCGGCGGGCGGATCGCGCGGGCCCGCGGAGGGGGGATGTGACTCACCGTGTCCTTGCTGACCCGGACGCCAGGGCCCTGCCCGGCCGGCGCGTGGGATCCCATGCCGGTGGTGCGCCTGGCGGCTCTCGGGGCTGCGGTGCACCTTGGGGTGGGGGTTTCGGGCGGCGGCCTGCCGCGGTCGCGCGAGGCGGGGGAGAGAGAGGTGTGACGGGCGTCGTGGCGGTCCGCTGGATGATGGCCAACAGGGGGAGGGGCGGTTGTGCCAAGTGATGCCGCAACCTAATCTGTTTGCTAGTTTGGTGTTCTGTCTGTGTGTGAGTGTGTGTTGCGGGGGGGTGGGATGGGTGGACGGCGTTGCGCGAGGTTGATTGAGGCTGTTCCGGGTGCAGACAGTGAGCGCGGAGACGTGACGGAGGCGAGACGGAGACGACACGGAGACGGAGTCCCTGCACATGCACACACCATATTCCTAAATCCTCACCCCCAAGCCTGAACCCCAAACCTTCCCCGTCTTTGGCGCTGTCTCCGTATCGGAAGACCTCAAGCCCTGACGCCGAAAACTCAATCGCGACCCGTCTTTGTCTCTGCGCGTCTCCGCACTCGTGGTCTGTCTCCGGAACCCTGGGGGCTGACTGGGGATCCCCAATGCATCCGGGGGCGGTTGCAATTTGACCAAGCGCCAACGTACTTATTGTACTTATTCGGCCAAATTGTCGCAGGTGACTAGGAGCCAAGAAATGCAGCCCGGATGCATCCGGGATGCAGCGGTTGGGAACGCCGTTTTGGGGCATTAGCGACCGGCTCGGATCGGGCGAAGCAGTGTGATGACCTGCCCAGACGCCCTGTGTGGCAAGATGATGTGACGAGACATTATGCACGAATGTGCGCATGGACGGGACGTTGTGTGAAGATGCGTATGTGTGGACAGAGTGGACAGAATCGCTGCGCACCCGCAGATGACCTGCGGTGAGATTGCAACCTCGCTTTGCCCCGCTGTGCACGCTGCGCAGTGGGAAGCCGGCAGCGTCTGCCCTGCCCTGCTGTCGGAATTTTCGTGGTCAGGATGGTGGCCTGCTGAGCTGAGCACACCGCGGCGGCTTGAACAGGGACCGCGCATACACTTGGTGTCGCGCTGTGGGGTCGCTGCAACGCCGTCGCGACTCGCCTGCGGTTGTCAATTTGTTACCGTACCGCACGGCGAGCGCGCTGGTGTCAGTCGCCAGCCAAGGCAGGACGGCTGTGGCTTTCATTGCGGCCCCCTTCCGCCCGGGACACAGAACGCAGTGGCAAATAGGTCTTTGGCCGTCGCTCGCACAGCGTATGGAAACAACGTTCAACAAAGGCGCAAGGTGCCCAGTGTCCACCAGCCAGCAACCCACCAGTAACAAGTTGGTTCTTTATCCTAGATTCCTGTACGTGTACATACGCGTATATACGCGTATGCGCCCTGCCAGTTTCAAGGAAATTGAGGAAGCCCCAAACATCTTCAATGACAAATGGCAAGGTCAAGCGGCGTCTGGGGTGGCTTTCCCAAGGTGCGGACTCCCTATCGCAATGTAGGTTTGGAAGCTGCGGCGTATTTACATTCAAGACGCGCAACAATACGCGTATTACGTCAGCGTCTTACATGCGGGTGCTGGGGCGACGCGCTCTGGCCAAAAGTCTTTGAGTGCGCTGTAGCCCGGCGGGTTAACGACTTCCGCCTGCGACTGGTGCCTATGGATCCGCCACCCTGCAGCTCGCGGCAGCTGGGGAGAATTTGGGCTCATCGCAAAGGTGAAACACTTCCTGTATAAGACAGCCCAGCCGGGTAAGCGCCGTACATTGCGCCAGTACTGTGGCTGGTGACGACGAAACCTGGTGCCACCGCATGGGAGCATCGGCGTATGTGATTTGCCGTGTGCTGCGGGAACGTGCCAGGCGCCACGCAGGAGGAGATGACGCGCTCGCAGAAGCTGCACGGGAAAAGACGACGGTGCGCAGGGCAAGGTAAGCAAGGGCGTCAGCAAGCGCGAAAAGAGGGCAGCTTCCAAGGCATTGAGGTTAATCTGTCTGAGAAGCGAGTTCGAGACATCGTCGTTATCGACTGTGCGGCATATCGGTCGGCGAATGTGATTCGTATTATCGGAATGTCTGTGTATTTTACCCACGCGAAGGCAGCGGTCACGGAGGCAGGCAAGGCGGAGGGCTCGCTTCCGGCCTTGCTCACGCTTGGGAGCAAGGCCGCCGCCACTGTCTGGGAGACGGCGGCGAAGGCGCCATGGGCTGAACGGAAACGGAGACTGACTGATTGCACATGCAAACTGAATCATGGCATGTGGTCGTATGCCACTGAGGGTGTATTTTGTGGTGAGCTTTGCCACGAGGCGCCCGAGGCCGTTGCGCCAGGGCGTAATGCGGTCCGAAATTTGCCACCATAAGGTCATCAGCCGACTGTCTTGGTGCATTGCCTGATAAGCTGTGCGATCAGGTCAGGACGGAGTGCCAGCCAGCTCGCTCATATTCACAGTTGAGATCTTCCCCCGTTCTCCAACCCTGCCACGACACCAGCGTACCGTATTAGGTGCAGCCGCCCTCTGCCACATTGCATAATAACAGTGCTGTTTCTATTGCTATTTGATGTTATTACCAAAACATTATGGCCAACGACCAAAGCAGGGCCCTGGTGCTGTGAGCATTTGGGCAAGGAGACGCAAAGCTGTGCTCTTCTTGTGCTGAAAAACGCACCGATAGGAGGATGCTCTTCCGGACAAGCACCAAGGACAGGCAGATCCTGGAAAAAGGCGGTGCCATAGATCTCGCCCGCATTAACAAGGACCCAAATGGCCCGTGTGCGGCGCTGGCGCCCTTTCCAGGCCATGTCCTTGCGGCAATGGGCGGCGGCCTCGTCTAGATGGAGGTGACAGCGGAGTCCCCTGTCCCCTGTCGTCTGTCCTCTGACAGGATGGGGGCCCCAGCAGTGAATTCGAGCCACGGCCCAAACAGGGACTCCATGCATATGCCGCGCACTGATTGAAATCCCCACTTTGGGGGCGCGTCCCGGTGGCGTCCCAGTAAGCGTCCCAATTCGGAAGCCAAGAGACACTAAGTGGCGCTTATTGGGACGCGTCCCGGATGCGTCCCAGGGCGCCAGCTGGGACGCATTTCTGCGACGCTCAAGCACCAAGCCGCTGCAGCCGACCTGACGCTCCAACGGAGCAACGGCCGCACTCTGCAGCCTGCTAAAAGGAACGGACGCGGGGCATCCGAACGCTGTTGGATGCACGCATGCCCTCGATCGGCTGCAAGCTGCGGCAGTGCTGCTGTGCCCCAGTGGAAGGCAAATTTTAAAGCATTGCGACATTCTGCTGCAGTCCGCAGTGGGGAGTTGGGTATGCCCGCTTTCGCAACATTCGGCAACATCTTAACAGGATGTGGAACCGATGCCACGGAGACGGGACACGGCACAGATGGGAGAGGCGCCTGTTCGCGAACGCCACAAAGCCCCAGCCGACGCGCGCTTCCGATCATGAAGATCAAATCGCATTGTGACGACGACGACAACGGTGGGGTTGGGGTGGGTCCCCAGCCGTGGTTGGGACGCCAGCACAGCGAATGTTGTTGGATGGGAGCGGAACACGGGGATGACGCTGGCCCAGCGAGCGATGTCGTCATATTGTACGCCAATTGACGCTAGGAGGGGTACTACCCCTGCATCCGCACATCTTTGCACAGTATGGGGAAGAGTCCACGCACATACTTCCTTTGAGGAGGTGCGCTTTGCATAAACTGTTTTTCTTGAAGTGTCACAAGTCCCAAACCCACATTCAATACTTAGGATCAATCCTTATGCCGATGCCACATCATGCACCGCCATTCCGACAGGGGTAAAGCATACACCAATCTTGCGCCCCATCGGGCAAGGAGGGCTCTGGCAGCTCCTGCGAATGCATGGATCCCACTACAGCGTCAACAAATCGGGCGGGCATGGGGTCAAACGAGAAGATCTCCTGCTCCTGCCGGCGCGCTTCACAATCCGCACCCTTCTCGCCCCTGCATCAAAACTTGCACACCCCGCCTTCGAGGGTTTAAAGCGGGTTGCCCTGCGGTGGGGTCAGTCCTGAATGGAGACACAATCAATTGCATGGCTGCATGAGCACTTTGCAGATGCAAACAAGGCGTCCTCTGTTCAAGACAACATTCGTCTCTTCTGAAAGGCATTTCAGTCTGGCCTGTGAATGGGGCGTCATCAATGCCATTGCACCCGCGCTTTCCCTGTTGCTTTTTCCTACAGTACAATGAATGCTTCTGGGCGGTTGCACGGCAACATCGCGGCCACATGGTCTATCCCTCGCTTCCAATTTTCCAAACTTCCAACAAACCCACCACCTGCATATGCGGCGACGACCAACACACAGTTACGGCAAGGAGCCAGCTACTGCATTCCACGCATGAGGATTCCATACGTGCCTCAAAGCACCCACGTCACGGAACCAGTGCGCTCCAAGCATGCGCATGCCAGCAAATGGTGCGCCTGACTAATCCACACAGTTCGAACTATTTGATCCTCTTCCCTTTGCCGGGGCAGCCATCGACCTTGGCACCAGTGGCGCCTGCAAAGAATGCGCCACGGCCACATGTCACCCATTCAGAGCCTGACCCTGGACGCCTGTTGTAATGCCCGGAGTCACCGCACCACCCGTGCTCCATTCCCAGACTGGCGCACTCACTGCACCAGCTGACGCCTGCAGTGACAGGTGCCCGCAGCTCAAGGATTGCAGTGGATCGCTGTCTGCAGTTTCACGACGAGGTTCCAGCCTCCTTTTCTTGATTAGCAGCATCCAGCAAGGGCTTCAGCTCCTGCTCTTCGTACACCTTGTAGGTAATCTGCCACAAACAGCCAAGCGAGTCAGCCTATCACACATGATTCAACCCGCTTCCTTTGCATAAACCAACTCAGTGCTTGAAACGCATCCCCTATGCATTGCTATGTACCCCATGCATGCAAGGTTGCACGACATAGTGCTGCTGTTGCCAACAGACCCCTGCCGACTTTACGTTGTCCACTAAGGGCCACTAGCTGCCACAGTACTTTGCGACCAGAAGCATGGTTTCTGCTTTCTTATCAGAAAAGAAAATGTCCATTTTAAGCACAGAGTCTTCCAGAATTAAAACCAACCTTTTGGCTGACAAGGGAATCTGACGGGCTAACATAGAATCAGAGCTACTCAGCTTCCTTGTTGCCAACCTACCTGACAAGGATTCTTCCGCAGGTGAAGGTTGCAACATGTCGCTCCGAGAACTTACCCCTTTCCATTGTTTCAGTTGTTGAGAGAGCAAGCACCATCATTACTGGGGGCATTGCCCAGTTTCAGAACAGTTTCCCCCTTTTCTGCCCCAACTCCTGACAAACAGCGCAGGCCAACTTTCTGGGGACAAACTGTGATCTCAACACAGCGTTCACCTTCCCAGTGTCCTCGCTCCTGGACAGTGAGCACAGCTCCACCTTTTCTGGTGACAGTGTGGTGTCCATGCTCTTGCCCAGCACTTTTATCACAAGATTCACAGCCTCCTCCATATTGAGGCCTTCGTTGTAATCCTGCTTCAAAATGTTCGTTGCCGCTTGGTGGTTGGCGCCAATGGCAGTTGCCTTCCATCCGCTGTAGTTTCCACTTGGATCGCTCTGGTACAGCTGGTAGCCATACTGCTCATCCCTAGAGACAAGGAAAGAGCAATAGCGTGGATGGAACAGTGCTGATCAATCAGTTCTTGCAATCAATCAATCCTTCTTTGCATGGAGGGGCCACCTACAAGTCATGCCTCTTGGCACCGATGGAAAATGTGCTTGAGCACAATCAGGCACAACATCTTCGTGCTTGGGAACAATAATTGTGGCTATTGTTGCTTTGGAAATGCAATGTCAGTGCTTTGCAAGTTCACGCAAAAGTAGTCAAATAGATCTTGCCTGGGGACACCCATATCACCATAATCTGTTGTATCCCATGTCAGATCAGGCAGAGTGTGTCCACAGTATCCTCAATGTCAATTGCATCCACAGGATCAATAGCACACATAGTATCCATTTGAGCCATACTGCGTCACAAATGATGAGCTAACGCTCTGACTAGTCACATTTTAATGGATGAAATAACAACGCCAAACACTTAGACATATGCTGATTCGTCACATATCAATGTATGAAATCAGTAAAGCTATATGTCACATGGTGCATTCGGGCGCCACACCATGTCCAATTGCATTCATTCTTGTGTTTACGACAAATGCGAACCACACAGTCGTCACAGATTGGATGCAACAGTACAACAGCATCCAGGTAAGTTAACAGTCACCTGCAGACATAGCAGGAAGGGGAATGGGTTCCCTACGATGAACTGCGACAGTCAAAATGATAAGAAAACAAAGCCTGGCAGAGTGCTTATGCATTGTGCTGATTTGCCTTGATACAATGCGACAGAGAAGGTGGGAATGGTATGCACTTGTGTGGGGGGCCACATGCGGTTGCGATTTTCACCTAACCGGGCCATTAGGAAGGTCAATTGGGTTCGTACCATCCAGCATACAGAATTGCCACACCAAATGGTCTCTGTCCTCCAAATTGGGTGTACGCCTTCAAGCCAACACACAGCCATGTAAAGAGCCAAGCCAAACAGCCACTGACTTGTGGTGGGTAAACACTTGCATTTTTCTTGCCCAGCACAGCATATGAGCGCTAAATCCACTTGGTTAACTTTTCGTTATTTCAGTTGTATTGTCAAATGACAAAGCTCCATTCTCGAATGTGTTAAACAACACTGAGCAGAAGCTACAACAGTCACTGCACCGCAGCACAATCCCACAAGGCAACTGGACTTGACATGGCAACAACAGCTCAATTCCCGTGCACTGTCATCCATCCAGTACCCCATCATGCATTTTTGCTGAGCACACGTGAATGAATGAATCTCAAGGTTATTGCCCACAACCCCACAAATGTGGAAGATGCCTGAATCTGCATATACTGCTTTTCCACAAAGTGTGACACTGAGCTGTCCTGTTGCCCCTCAGGGCATGTACAGCAATGTTCTTGAGCAAAAAGCATGTCTGCCATTGGTGTTGCGGCCTTACCAAACTGTCGAAATGCAGGAAAGAACCTCACCTGCTTTGTGTCACACAATCCCCTCACCAACAGCTCAACAGGCATTGGCTCCTGGTATGTGTACGTGTACCGCTGGGCAGAAACACGGCAGTGGTTTATCAAGATGTTGGCATCCGCTGAAACAAGACCACAGATCGTTGTTGTAGCATTCCATTTAGACATTGTTGGCAACATAGAACACAGGTGCCAATTTTCTTGTTGCCACTTAACAGCATACAGGGAGTTTCAACGTCCCAAAGGATCAGGTGTCTCCAGCACATGCACAGAACACAAATGCAAGCACGATCAATATTCATGCTGCCAATTTTTGTCCGAAATAAACTTATCAGTCATGATTTCTATCGCAATGGCCATGGCACAACTAACTTCACAGTGCAAAGAGCCATACAAAGAGAACAGGCCCACAAGTGCCCCAGATGTCCCAGAAATGTGGACACTGCTGAAGGACTCTCTGTCAGCAACGGTACACATCAGAGCCCACTGCATGGCTTCCATCACACAGTCATACAGTAGGACGGATGCCACAATCAGCGATCAGGACAACTGCATCTGATTTAAAGGTGTCCCCTGGTGCATCTGTGATGCTGGTTTAACTTTGTGCAAAACGGCTTCTGCATCATCGTACATCGCATGGACAAGAGATCCACACACATTTTGGGGCAGCAGGGACTGGGAGGGGTAAGCCAGTGATTGACGTGTTCTTTTTCTTGCAACAAAGCCTTGATAGTGCACTGTCCCACACTGCTTGCTTGCTAAATTTGTTGAAAGACATCGCAAAGCAATCCCAGTGGATTTCCAGCGTTCATAATGAACATTGTTCCCCCTTCCGTTGCTCCTTGGTTGGGCAACTTTGTAATGCAGGCACGGGGTGCCACCCCTGTATCAGCATGTGTAATCGCTGGCCAGGGTCACAAATGATACACCCAGTGGAAGTTGTCCCCAGGGTTGCACAGGATTGCCCAAAGAAAAGACGTTGTCCAGATAATCAAGGGAGAAAGGAGATCTTGTGAGTCCAAGAGAAAAATGAGAGAGCAGCACATGATTCAGACAATGGTAATTAGCCCCAAAAGATTCTGACAGATCTTGCCATGTCTCACAGCAAACAGAACTACTCAGGCCTTTTGTCCAGGTTCCTGAACCATTTCTTGAGCCATCTTGCTCCTGCCTTTGTATCATTGCACATGTGCTATGCACACTGACACGAACATTGTGCAGCATGTGACTTGCACCAGTTGTGACAAAGCACCAGAAAAAACTTGTAACAGGTTGGATCTTTCTGCTAAAGACGCATCAATTCACTTTACATGCCTTTCAAGCCACGCAATCCTCAAGCACACACCCACCTGTGATGCCTGCCACTGCACACGCGATGTGGTCATCCAGCTTGTACATTTTCTCTCGCTTCACCCCAACAGCGCCTGTGTCCAGCAGCTGGCCACGGCAACGACGGCACACAAATGAGGACAAACACAGGGTGCAGGATTGAATGCAATGATTACAGCCAAATGAAGGAATACGGCACAGGTCAGGGCGAGCGACCATTGAGTGCAGGACGTCAATTTTTGCCAGGGATCTGCAACGGCCACACGATGCTCGACAAAGACCCTAGCTCACCCCACCCACCCACCACAATCAGCAAGAGCTGAAAGGGGCGCGGCACCTTCCCGCACAAGACGGACTCCAGATCTCGACACCAGCATCACTGCCGATGGCCCCACCCACCGTCCCACCGCCCGCAGCCGAAAAGATGACAAACTCAGCCAAATGATCAGAAATTTCCCCCTGGCGGGGAAACCCGAACAGATCAGCAGCCCATGCAAAAGGATCGTAAACTCCCCTCCCTCCATTTGCGCGGCCTGGAGACCGCAATATCGTTCCTTCTCGCCCGTGCCCGTCCGAACGTTGGCGAAGATCATGGACGACGATGCCTGTGCCGCGATACGCGATCCGTACAAAACGAATTCCCGCCGCACCTTGGACGCAATCTTCTTCTCCGACGCCAACACCACGCCGTCTGTCGCCAGGACCCCGATGGCCGCGCCCGCGTTTGAGATGGCCTCCACGGCGTACTCCACCTGGTACAGGCGGCCCTCGGGGCTGAAGATGGTGGTGCGGGAGTCGTACCTCCTTGCGGCCATGGCTGCGGGCAGAGGCCAAGGGTGTGTTGGAGGGGGCTGGGGAAAGCTGTCCCACCAGGTGTCTACCTTCGCGGGTGTTCTGTGCTTGGGGCGGTGCTGGGCAGAAAGTGGCCAAAACTGGACCAAAAAAACTGCCAAAATGCCCCTATTTCTGTCGATGAATCAACAAAAGAAATCAAGAATTCGAGAAAGAAGAATCCAGTTGTTTCACGTTTGTGTGATGGTTTCTTAAATGAATGGGGGACATGCGAAAGTCATTGAGGGAGCCCTGGGCCGGGTGACGTCGTTGAGGATTGGCCTGCTTGGTGTCGCTGTTTTGGGCTTGCCGCGTTAACGCAAAGTCCCACAAGGAGCTGCAAGTTTGCCCTAACCGTACATACCATGTGCGCATCCGTCCATGTGATACTGCAAAATATAAACCCTCCGCATAGTAACGTAACGCTTGGTCTTTTTTTGCGGAGAAAATAATATATAACGCAAATCTTGTCCTTTCTGCGCGGAGCAACGTAAAAAATAGAAATAGCGCTGTGAAAAACAAAATGCGGAGCAAAAAGCACAACGGTGAAATTTTCTGATGCGGAAGGGTTTAATGTTTCAAAGTATTGTCCCGGCACCCCGAGAACATCAACGAACGGCACTCGCAATAAACAGGAGAAAAAACACGCACACACGAGAGGGTCAAGGACGCTACGCACAGGGCGAAAAAAACTCCGGGCGCCGTCGGCCCCATGGTACAGCCCCACTCCCACCCCCCATCGTGATGTCCAACACCCCCGGCGCCTGCACAACCTCCACGCTTGCTGCTCCCCCGGCACTCGCGAGCGTGTGCAGCGGCCCAGCCGGCCCCCGGCCCCATGGCGAGCGCCGGCGCGGGGAGGGCGGACAGGCAGGGCGCGATGAACAAGGAAAAGGTGCGGGGGAGGAATCCGGGGGGCGCTGTTCCCCGTGTGGACCGCATGCCGGCGTGCCGATCCGGGCAAACGCCCGCAGGGGTTCATCGCCGCGAGGGGGGGAGGCGCGTCGAGTGATCGGCACCCTCCGATCTGGCCGAAGGGTTGGCGCGACCCCACCCCGCGGGGTGGGAGATGATGCGGAGGAGTCTGCGGGCGGGCGGGACGCGCGACACGCGCGGAGGGTGCGCACCGGGCGGGCCGTGCCCCGGGTAGGCCCCGGCGTCGGCGACGTGAATTTGCGGGGGTCGTCGTGGTGCAGGTGGCCCAGCAGTTCGTCAAATTCTACTACACCGTGCTGAACGACAAGCCGGACTACCTGCACCAGTTCTACGGCGCCAACAGCACGGTGGTGGTGTCCGAGGCGCAGGACTCCGGGGCGCCCATCAAGGTCGACGCCAGCTCGGAGGAGGTGGGGTGCCGCGCGTCCTGTAATTCGCGCGGGATCGCGCCCGTGATGGTTTTGATTTGACTGCTCTGGCCCGAGCCCCGCGGAGATGCGGGCACTGGAAGGCCGAAGTCGCGCGTGGAGGCCTCGAGGGCGCACAACTGCCGGCTGCGTTTTTTGGCCTGGGCCGTGGATTCTGGTCGCCTGCCCGCCCTGATGGGATTTTCTGTGTTGCACCGCCCGGGCAGGAAATCGGCAAGCTGCTCTGCACGCTGTTCGCGGACGTGACGGTCGCCGTGGACACGTCCTTCCCGCAGGAGTCGATCGACGGCAGCGTCCTGCTGCTGGTGTCCGGAAGGATGACCCGGAAGGTGGGGCGTCCGCGGTGGTGATGGGAAGCCCTGCAGCCATGGCGGGGGGCCTGTGGGCGGGTTGTTTTCCTCCTCGACTTGTTGACGGGCCTTCTTATTGACCGGGCTGCAGGGATTTGTGGCAGTGCGAAATTGTCATGTCTTCTGTTGGTGGGAGTCTTCTGCCAGATTTAGTGTGCAGCGCACAAATCTTGCCACCAGTTCTGCTTGGCATTGCAGTTTGCAATGCCAAGGGCTGTGGGAACGTTCATTGCTTCATTGCTCTGTTGGCAGTTCGGTGTCTGGCTGTTTAAAAGAGGGCTATTGTTTGAAAGCAGGGAGTTGATGAAGAGCGCTTCTTCACCCAGGCCTTTCTTCTGGCACGCCAGCCAAGTGGATTCTATATCAGGACCGACACTCTCCAAGTCCACAACAGAGGTTCATGCTGTAGAAGTGCCTCTGATGTGAGTACAGACAGCCCTCCGGCCGTTTTGTGCTCACCAAGGCGCTTCTTTCCTGCACCAATGTCCTGCTGTGTGAACTCGACTCAATTGTTTTTGCTTGTTGGTGTGCCCGTTTTGGTTTGCAACACCACATTGTGGCTGGTAATAGACAGGCCTGCACGGCCCAAACACTGGCTTCAGTGAGTGGTGCTTTCGAGCGTGAGGTGTTCTACTTGATTGTTTCCATAAAATGTAGCCCATGGACCACTGCGATGGCAATTGTGCTGCTCAGGCCACACAGGCGAGCTCAGGCTCCTCAGGAGCAGCGCATCCCACCAGGGGGCCTTCTGCGCCTGAGCCCCAGCCCGAGTCCAAGCCTTTGCTGAACAACCACAGTGGCTCGGTCGTTCGATCCCGGGACGTCAGCGGGCTGGGCCTTGGGCCAGTCGCGAACACAGGCGGACTGGCAAGCGATGCGGTGGACGATGGTTCTGCGCCAGGAGCAGTACACAGCCTGGCTCGCCCCCACGTTCTGGACAGCCTGAGCCTGGATGCAGACCAGGGCAGAAGAGAGATGCAGGGAGTGGGCGAAATCGCTCCCACCATGGTGGCTGCAGTCTCCAGCGCCGCCGCTCCTGGTGGCATTCCCACCAGTGGTGGGGTGGCTGCTGAGAATGGAGTCAAGGACCTGGAGGTCGAGCCACCAAGCCAAATCGTGGCACCGATTGAAAAGCCGATAGATGTGGTTGCGGAGGCCCCACCCTTGGATGCTCCTGCGCCCCCAGCCGTCCATGCTTCAACCGCTGCCCCTGTCCCTCAAGCTGTCGCGGCTGTGGCGCCTCCACAACCTGTCGTGGCACTTACCGGCACTGAAACTGCCACAGATGCCCCCATCGCAGGGGAATATGTCCAGGCTCCTGCGAGCACTCAAAAGATGTCCTATGCGCAAATCTTGAAGTCGCGCGCTGCTGCAGCGGCGAGTCAAGCCCAGCCAGTCTCACAGGCTGCCCCGAAGCCCGCCTCCGATCCAGTCTCTGTTTCCCAGTCTGCATCTGAGCTACAAACCCAGGTGGGTGTCACAACAAGGAACAAATCGATGGGCTGAAGCTCCTCCAGTGGCCAGTTGCGGCGCATGCAGCCCTGGCTATTTTCTCGACAAGAACTGCCATGGCGTGTGTCACCCTTGATCGCATGCAGTGATGTGAAGGCAGAATGTCAATGTTTGCTCTGTTGCTCAGAAGATTTTGAAGAGAAGTTGCAGGAAGCACCCACTCTGTTGTTGCGCTTTTGTGGCTTCCCTTGGCAAGCATTGCAGAGTGCTGATGGTGCACTCCTGTGGTGTCGAAACTGATGGTGGACTGGTTGTGGCAAGGGGTGGAACGCGAGGCCAAGGGACAAGAGGAGGACTCGAATGCCCTCCCAGGGCGATGGCAGCCATGGCTTCTAGCCAGCCCTGCACAGCTGGACACAGCGGAGTGGCAGAGAGCAGGCCATCGGGCTTGGGCAGCCGCTGTGGGCTCTAGGATTGCATTGATGGAGCCAATCCATGCCACACCGCTCAGGGGACAAGACGCCCTGGGTTACATCTGGGGATGGGCATGGGCATGCTTCCGGTATGGAGGTGTGGGGAATGTGTGCCATCAGCATGGATGTGCTGGGTATTGTTCCATCTCTGTCTGGTGCTGGGATTCCTTGCAAGGGCAGTGGTTCGGGGCTAGTGCAGGTGGATTCTTTGGTTATCTATTCTGGGACTGTGGGGCTGCAGTCGCCGCACGTCATGATAGTCTCTTTCTTTCATGCGCGTCACGGTTGTGGGACGTCCTCTTTGTTCCGGAGCAATTTTGTTGTGCCGTCCCTTTTTCCAAACACGGGGTGACACCACCGCCACATGGTCCCCAAGTGAAGGGCGCTGCCCATCAGGCGCCAAAGGCGTTATGGGGAGTGGCTGTGTCCAATCCGCGACACATGTTGTGGGCGACCATGGTCTTGGAATTGCTCCCGCCTTGAAGCCACAGCCCGCTGAGCGTGGTTGCTCCCGGACTAGGGCATCAGCATTGGCGTGCCATCTGGGTATCAGCACGCTGCTCCCTGCCAAAACGCCCCCCACGCCCTCCCAAGCTCCGTGTATGCTGCTTTCGTGCTTCGGTTTCAAACCTTGCTTCGGTTTCACTCTTATTGCGAGCGGCCAGTACAGCGCCGGAGAGCAGAAAAGGTCCAGCGCATTCTGGATATAAGAGGTGTTGCTCCAATGTACGACTTTGTCTTTGGATTCAAGGATACGTCTCAACCCACACCTCTCAAGCCAACCACAACCAGTGCACATGGTGGTCAATTCAGCACCTGCAACAGTGCCCCCTTGCGTGTGCCAAACTCTTTGAGGTGGCTGGGCGGCCTCGCTAACTGTTTGTGATGATGCTGTCTGGATAGTGCTATGAACAGCACACGATTTAAAACAAGGTGATGCGCTGTGCAGTTTGGCAGCCCGGATTTGAGCAGCCTTCAGTGCGAAGGAACTGGTCGACACATCAACCGAGAAACACAACGTCGCAGAGGCAACAGCGCGCACAGCAACACACCACACACAAAGTAAAAGAAAAACAACTTGATTCCCCGCGAAGCGAGGAAAATTTATGAATCCAAAAATAAACGAATAAAAAAACTTATGAATAAAAAATAAGCTCTTGAAACTCAGTCCACCGCTGCACATGCAGACGGTTTTCAGAGGCGCCTCCTTCATGGCCCTTTTCAAAAATGCTCACTCCGCGATTCTGGGCATCGCGACAACTCATCAATTCAGCGTAGTTTCGCCATACAGCGACCACAAGCGGCGGCCACTCCGAACGTCCAGCGAAGAAAGCCAGGCAGGCGCTTGAACCGCCACAACTGCAAGGGCCAACGCGCAAGTTACGATTGCAGGTGGCGCCCATGTATGACGGGAACCACTCGCCCTGAACGGTTGCCCCAGCAGGGTCCCCTCATCCGAAGACCGACTGTTGCGTCGACAGGGGCCCCTAACGTGAAAACGAGCTGCAACTTGTTTAAATATCTCGAATGGTCCCGCGCTGTCAGCCGCAGCAAGGCCAGCACAGTGTGGCCCGTTTGTGCGTGAGCGCATGCCTGCCAGATCCAGGCGCCCAACTGCGGTTCCCAATTGCAATGTGGCAAATGAAGCACGACCCACATCTGCATCCCCATGCACGTCATCTCAAACTCCGGCTATGTGCTGCGGGGTCGCTGCAACACAACCGGTCCCGGTGTGTCGAATGTCGAACACAGGGCAAATTGGCAAGTTCTCAATCCAAGCCCAGGAGGGTACCTCAGCAAGCCCCGCTATGCCCCCGGAGGGTATCTCGGCACCGCCATGCACGGTGACCCCCGCAAGGGCGCACATCTTCCATCTTCCACGGAGACATGTCAGAACCCAGGCAACCCCACTGGCATTGCCGTACAGTTCACGGATACGCGAGACAGGCAGCTGCACCAAGGCACTCGTTCGGGGGCGAAGCGTGTCTCGGTCAGCTCCCCAATCCGCATCTCCCTGCCCAGCAGACCGTAGGTCACACTTCGCAGTGAGGTGCACCCTGTCCCCATGAAGTCACGCATGCGACGTCTCCACGACGCAGGCTGGATTCTTCACACGGTCGCCCCGGTCCACCGCCACTGCCGCTGGATGGCCTCCATGCGATGCCCACGCCAGCAATCCCCACAGTAACATGAAACACGCTTCACGGGCTTGAATGAGCAAGCGAGCCATGACCTGGGTGATCATGACAAAAATGGGCGCCGGGTGGAAGTGGCGCCTGTCCACAGAGCCTCACTCTACAGGCGTGTATGCCATGTTGGCCGAGACCAGGGTGGTCAGCCTTATTTCGCTCCACTGGCCCTTGCGCTCCTGCTGGTGCTTCCTCACCTCTGCCACGACGTTCACCCCGAGGTGGAGGATGACAAGGCACGTTATTGCCACCACCTGCATGTGCCGGCAAAAGGGAGGCTACGTTAAGGGGCGGGAGGTGAACCACAGAGAGCCTGCAGCAGCTGGTGCCGCTGTGGCCCAAAGACAGCATCGGCAACTGCGCAGTCTTTCAGCGATGGACGACTGCGCGTGCTCTTGGACATGAAGGATGCAAGGCCAAACCACTGCATTGCCACCTCCTTGGCGTTTTAGCGATGCTTTGGTTAGGTTGCGGTGCCAAAGTGCCACCCATTATCTTGGTACTACCACAGTACACCAGCACTGGAACTGCAGAAACTTGAAACTTGTGTGCACTTTGCCAGAAAGGGTGTTTGGCACACAGGCTGAAGTTTACTGCGCCAATTTCAATTATCGTGGTTGTACCATTATTAATACTGCTATTACTATCAGGTTGACCAAATACTCTCACGCAGGCTCACACACCGTGGACCCCAAGCACGGAAAGCGTGGCCGCAACCAGATATGTTACAGGATGAGCATACCAGCCAAATAACCGTAACCGCAATAATGCTCACCTCCCGTTCCCCTTGTCCCCATGCAGATTCACCATAGCATCATGTTCACCATATTTGCTTCTCACCATAAAACGCCATATATCACATACTATTTATTAACTGCTGTGTCGCCCTCACAACTACTATGATCATTATGACTGCATTCTTAATCATCAGCATTGTCACTGTTATCATCAACATCACCATCATCAAGATTGCTAGTGTTCACTATTGTTGTTGCACCCCTGGCAGTATAAAACACACTCACCCATCCTGTAACGTCCTCGTCCAGCAGGGCGTTCAGTGCATTCGCCCCAAGGTACGCCATAACCACACCAGAAGTCACAAGGGTCCGGCCCAGCCAATGGTGGCACAGCTCAAACACCCATCGAAAGCGGTGATGGGGAGCGGGCCTCGTGATGCCCAAGGTGACTTGGACCATGAGCAGGACGCTGACCACGATCCCAGCATATTTGTGCAGCTGCCCAGGCACCGTGTAGGGCACATCAAAATTCAAGGTTGCGACCAGCAGTGACGCCAGCATCAGCGCCATGGCGATCAGCACGATGAGGTGGTGCAGATGGAACCAGCCAGTTGGACCCAGTGACACAAGTGCCCACTTGTGCCGTGCCGTGACCATGGCTACAGTGCACAACATCGGTGTGAGGTTTCCGACTGGGGATCTCGACAGCATGGGCCAAGGGCCAGGCTGCATTGTACGGAATGCGTGCAGTGCCTGAGGTAGGGAGAAACATGAGAAGCTGCAAACATCTCCACCAAATTTGAAAGCGGTCCCAGCTGCTCGATCAGAATCCGCAGCGTGTTGCACGTGCACAGTCAACACCATTCTTTGTTTGATTCTTTATTCTTTCTATTTAGTTAATTTATTTCATGAACAACTGCACCAGTCCTTTCGCTCACCCAGTGGCAGCACTCCAATCCACGCGATCACCATCAGCAGGCCGTGCAAGTCATGGTAGTACTCATGAGATGGCCCCTCCAAGTCGAAAGTAATCCTGACCCATCCTCTGCCCCTGTGGTGGTGGTTTGTCAGTCCGTCCTCTCTACCTATTGCGAAATTCACAAACATGGTCTTGGTTGGACAGATTCGCACCCGTCCAGCTTGCATGATCCTTGTGAACTCAATTGTTGTGTACCCATTCTCCTCGGTTGCACTTATGTTGTGCAGTGCAATTGTTGGGTCTTCATCTCCCAGATGAAGGTTCTTGTGCTGCACGTGGCAAGAAACGACGGGCGCATGCTCAGAATATGCCACAAAGGTAGTGCACAGTGACAGCGAAGCCTTCCTTGAACAATTCCACATCGCCTGATTTCGTCAAACACTGACAAACGGCAATTATCGAATGACCAAACACAGCAGAAACCAACAGAGAAAAGAAGCGTCACTGCCCTTTTCGCACACAAGGCTGGCTCGTTTCCTCACATGGAACAAAGGGACTCGCAAAACATGACCAGTGGTAGAAAAAAGCACTACAAAGGGACTTGCAAACCGTGACCAGTGGTAGAAAAAAGCACTACAAAGGGACTTGCAAACCATGACCAGTGGTAGAAAAAAGCACTACGAAGGGACTTGCAAACCATGACCAGTGGTAGAAAAAACCACTACAAAGGGACTTGCAAACCATGACCAGTGGTAGAACAAAACACTACAAAGGGACTTGCAAATCATGACCAGTGGTAAAAAAAACACTGCTGGGAGTCCACAAATCCAGCAGAAAAGGAGTCACACAGTGATCACCTGTATGATGTATGGCTTCACATTTGGCAATCCTTCAGAGAGCCAACCCACAACACCATCGGCTGGGGCCATCCTCCCTTCCGCCCTTGCGAAGGCCATTCCGACCCAACCTGGCGTCAGCCCCCTCATTGCAAATGCGATTTCTCCATTGCTGAGTGGCTGCCTTGTGTCAGAGAGGGCCTGTGGGCCCACTGCTTTGCCACCAATTCTCCAGTGCAATGCAAAATACTGTGAGAGCTGCTGCACGCAATCGTAGCCATCGAGGGGTGAACCTTGACTGCAGTACTTGGGCACATCGCTGACCGAATCGTTGGCTTCGGTTGCAAGGTGTCCGGAGTACAATTCGTACCTGCAGGCACAGAAAGTGTCACCCCTAGGAGCACAAAATGCAATCAGGCGCGATGATTCTTCTTGAGGTACCCCTGTCAGCAGGCGGGTGGAACCATGTTGAGGAGCAGCCAGACTGACAGAGTTTGGGTTGTTGGTGCGTGAAGCACTTTTTGACGATCAATTTGTTATTTGTCTTTCTTATGTCTGTCTTTTGTCTTCAAGATAAGGGTGCTCCAGGGATGTGGAATTTGGTGTGTGTCCAAGCATGAGTAACATGCGCCTTGACCCAGTTGTTGCAGGGAAGATCCCTCGCTGCATCTTCCAATGATCACAAGCAATTAGAAATGTGTCATCGCAGTATGCATCCCTGGTAAGGGATAAGAAAGGTGTCATACAGCGTGCATCCCTCCTTGACTGAATTCAGGAGGCTTGCTATGCTCCAAGCAACAGGAGGCAACACCGAGGTAGAAGCCTCCAACTGCACCTGCAGTTAAGAAGAAACAGGAAGAATAGAAAGCAGAAGAAAGCGGAAGGACTGTGGTGAGATTTAATTACACCCGCTTTTCACAACAAAACATGTGTGGATGCATTTAGAGGTTCTCAATACTGCCAACTTGTGGATACAAGCGTCTGGATGCAGGCATCATCTGCAGGATATCAAGCGACTTGAGGGCCCATTTCAAAATTGTTGATTGAGTTTCTGTGTTTTGGCAAAGCAGCTCTGGTGGGAAGGTTGATCCTGCCAACAAGAAGGGCAGATGCTTTGAAAGGGAAGAAACACCTAGACACTTCCATGTCAGCCTGCAAGATTCAACCTGCTGCACTGCCCTACACGCACAGCCCACAGCCCCACACATCTTATGAAACGGAACAAGGAAACCCAAGTGGACAGTCCAGCTGACAATGCATCGCCTGCAGGGTAAAGGGTCTTTGCTTTGTCATGTGCTGGCAAAATCCAAGGACTTCACAATGGAGTTGTACACGGTTTGCATGCACCACGGCCACAAACCACTTTCTCTCTGTTGGCTGTCAATGCACTCAACAACTTTTTTGGCCTTCCATCGAAGATGCGGAGCAGGAAACTGAGGGGGGAAACTCTTACGACTCTGCCCCCTGCTGGTGGCTGTCTGCTGCTGCCAGATCTGCAACTCGCCTTAAAATGGAAGCTAGCGCACCATGTGCTCTTACCAATGCTCGAAGTCTTTGACTACGTAACAGGTGAAATTCACGAACGTGGCCTGCTCCGACACCTTGAATGGCACCATTACTTCCTTCTTGTTGTTCTGTCACAGTCCACCAAAACTCTGAGAATGGGCCCAAGACAGAAGCTGGCAGTTCTTTGTCTGTGGAAGTGTGCAGTTTACAAAGTTGTTTCATTGATGTGGTGTGCCACTGGCTTCTTTGTCGATGGACTTACCCTGTCGGTGTGTGTCACCCTGCCAGGTTCGTCGCAGTGCTCTGTGTTGAACTTGGTGCCTTGCGGTAAGTCGTGGAACGTACCGTTCCCATTGGCCACAATCTGGAAGCCCTCCAGGGGCTCAAGGAAACCCCTCACCCTCACAAAAATCTCCTGCAGGCACAAGCCAGGTTAACTGGATTGCATGCAGGCAAGCATTGACGACTGCCCTACGTTGGCAGCAGTTGAGAAATGCGGGCGCGGACCAAAGGCCGAGCGGAACAAGTAACATCAACAATTCGCCCTTGCAGGATTGGCAGTAATTTTCATTTTCTTCTGCGCAGAAACTTGAGCCCAACAGCTACCAGCCTGGACTGTATCCCCATCTTTTAATGGACACACCTGATCGCCCAATATGTACCTAGTCGCCTACTGCACGCCACCCACGACATACACACACCCAACAACGTTGGCTGCTGCTCGCACTGCGTAACTTGCTTCCATTCCAGCATGAGGAAGAGAACAGAGAGCGGCTTGACTTTCTGGCTTCAGGCCCGCCAGGCAGCATCATCAGGGGCACTGTACATCTTCGCCATCCGTCCGCCAAAGAACCGGCAGAGAAACCCGCCAGGGCCTGTTGACGCTCATGCAAACCGCAGCAAGGAACACGGTACTCCAGGCGGCTGCACGAGCCAATTGGTCGAAACCCGCCTTCCCGGCAATGGCACCAAAGCCGACACCGCCCATCCGCCTTCGTCCACCTGTTTGGGGTGGAATTGTACTCAAGGGTTTCGACAGCCCTCTTCCTTGCCCCCTGGCCAAGTGGTTGGTGGAGCGGTGGGACATCCCATCGGAGGTCGGCCCAGGGTCGATCCCAGCTCCAGTCATCCTCGTCACCATCAGCACTCAAACACCGCCCCAGCCCCACGCCGATGCAACAAGCCCGCATCGTGGAAACCCGGCCGCGTCGCCTCCTCACGCCCGTCGCATCCGCCGCCCAGAGGCCAACAAATCGACCGCCAGGCCGCCAGCGGCCTCGCCGAACCGGTTGCGGACGCGCGGGGGCCCGCGCACCCAACAAACCTCGTCAATGCGGGCAATGGCTTGGGCAATGGACAGGCGATCCGTCGTCCGGCCACCCCAACGGCCCGTTCAGAGAGTTCAAAGATAGACACAACTCGTTCATCCCATCCGCACAAACCGCAGCAACTTCCACTCTCAGAACTTCCTTCCGGCACTTTCGGGCCCCCACCGATGACGCCCGGCCGCGACGCACAACGCCACAAGACCCGAATTCCTGAACGGCCCAGTCGGTGGCCCCAGGGCGCCGGTCACCTGCCCAGGGGACGGTCTGGCCAGCCATCGCCCCTCCGCGTCCAGCGCCTCGCACGTGTAGCCCCCGTCCGGCGACTGCGACAGGCTGCGGCCGTGGCCGATCCATGGCGAGCCGCACGATCCCGCGCCGTCGGGATGCGCCCCCGCGACGCCCAGACAAATGCAGAGGAGGGTGCAGAGCAGCGGGCGCGAGCGCGGGGGAGCCCGCGAGGCCATGGGGGGTGCGGAGCGAAGGCAGACAGCCCATGTTGGCCGGCCCCACACTTGGGCAAAGACCGGTGCCCGGCTGGCGACGGTACGTGCCGGGCGCGTGTTGTGATCCGCTTGGGCGAAAAGGGGTGGGGCGGGATAGCCACTTGTACCGCAGCTGTAGTGCTATTGGGCGGCATCGGAGCGAACGTACGGCCGCTGGGACCTCCGGACCGACTAAATGCTGGGGCACATACGACGAATGGCGTCGACGGCGACAAAGCCGTATTGCTGCCATCCCAAGGACGAGCGGGCCCGTTTGTCGTGCGGGTTAAACACGGGTGGCCTTGCCCAACCCGTTTCCAGTCAGTGAAGGTTCAATCCGTAACTCGCACTCAGACTCATGCACACACACACATTTTGCTGCATCCCCAGAGTGACCACTCGGGTGCACCAACGTCACCGTGGTGACGTATTCTCCAGTTTGCCATCTTTCCCGCGATCTCCAACTACCCCAAACAAGACAGAAGGTTGGGGCGTGGACAAAGGAAAAAAAACCCACGGCAGAAATTCAAGCAGAAGCCCAGAAGGGCAATACCCACAGGAACCGCGAACCACGAGCCGAACTTAGGGGGACGGGGGGGAAAGCTCCCATGGCAAGAAATCCGCAGCAATGGCGGAGGCCCGATCGAGCATCCAGCCAAAGAAAAGGAAGTCAGAGGCAGCAGCTTCATGGGAGAAATCAATGTAACGAAACACGGAATCGGAGCCAAAACTCCAACCACCCCAGAAACAAATGGTTTCAAGGGGAACCCCAATGGCGTGGGCGGCAGTAGCACCGCCGCGCCGCAGAGCATGGTGCGAGGTGCCCGCAGGGAACAAGTGAGGCCAAGTGGTCGCAGCAGCAGTAAAGATCTGACGGACCAAAGCCGTCGACGGGCGACCCTCGGAGCGCAGCTGCCAAATATAAGGTGGCAAAGACTCGGAAGCGAAGTGCGCCATACGAAGAGCCCGGTAGGTGCGGAGGCAGGTGAGCAGGGCGGGAACCCGGCGAGCATTGAACCGGCGGACCCGGTTGACCAAGGAGTCCACTCGCTTGCGTTTAAACCGGGTCTCCCTAAAGAGAAGGTAGTCGCCATCCTCCACCAAGTTGGCAGCCGTAATGGGGAAGGCCGAATCGCCCCGATTGAAGAAGGCGAAGTCCAGGCCCACCAGAAGCGCAGCGCATAAGGTAGCCACATGAGGAGAGTCCGCCGCCCGGTCCAACAGCTTCAGAATGGACGTAGCGGGAAAGGCGACAATCTGATCACGGGCCTCAGAATCCGCCGCAGCCAGCCGCCAAGCTTGGAAGAGCTGCTTGGTAAGCGTAGTCGTGGCCGTGAAGTCGGGGACCGCAAACCAGCGGTGAACGGTCGTAATGGCCGACACATATTGAGGGCCCGACCGCACAGAAATGTGCCCCTCATTGCGCAA